ACACCTCTAAAATGTTCCACCTGATGGAAAGCACTCATTCACTCATACAAATGTCATTAGATAAGAAATGGGATCAACATTACATAAATGAATTGAGTATAGAAGAGGTAGTGTAGAAGGATGAACAGGGTCTAAAGAGTCTGACAATCTCTCTCAAATAAGAGACTAATGAAATGGAGCCAGTCTTCAGGGAGAAGAGAGTGAAAGCTATGGGAGGAGACTAGCTTTGCTGAAGAATAATAATATCTATTTTATTTTATTAAATCTATTTTACAAACAAACCAGTCAGAGTTGATTGGTGATGGTTTGGGATTTAAATTCTGACCCTGGGATGAAATATATTCACTCCCAATTATTAATTGTGACTCTTGGGTAAGTCCTATAGTGGGTCATCGAAAGAGAGGAAAACCCTCAACAAGATGGATTGGCACAGGGACTGTGTAACTGTGGGCTTGGACAAGTCAGAGACCATGATGATGATGATGGCGCAGGTTAGAACAGAGGTTCTCGTCTGTTGCCATAGGGTCACTAAGAGCACAGTCTACGTGAGGACACTTAACAACAGCAACAAAGTAAGTTGATGAGGATTAAGTACAATATGCCCTACACCTGAGAGTTACATAAATAACAGACCTTTAACCAGTGAAAGAATTAAGGTGGGTCACAGTGAGTTTTAAAACTTTGTGACCACAGAGGAAACGGGGCAGCCTAGATTTTTTTTTTCTCTTCATATTATCTTTCACTCAATATACATTTCTTGAAGACTGTTTGACTTAGGTGCTAGTTACACTTTGATGATCAAATCCTTTAATTCTCCGTTTTATGTCTTTGTTATAGTCTGCTGAAAGACACTGTTTAAATGTAATAATAATGATAATAATAATGACCTAAAGTCAAAATCTGGACTAGTAAAATGTCACTTTGTAGGTGGCATAAACCCTGAATAAAGATTTATAATGGGCTTTAGGAGACAGCCATCTGTTACCACCTACTTGTCATCACCCAATTACTCTTTCTTTAATCAGGGATATTAATATTTGCCACCTCTCTAACATTACCTTTTGAGGTAACTGAGATGAACTTGTTGAATATTTGTGGGCATCATTAGCAGTGCAAGGCTGTATAAATACAAGCCTTATTACATTATTCAATCCAGCATGTCCCATGGAAATTACTAGTACAATTACGATACAAAGCAAAATAATATGAGGAATTTGAATCACTAGACAGATCTGCAGTGCAACTTTATTTTGTGTGGTGTATTTCATATAAAATTTTTATTAAACTCTTTGAAAAGTTGCCCCCTTTAGGGCTTAGGTTAAGTAACCTGGATTAGAAAGTTGAGATTTTATAAAAACAGCTGAAACTCTAGCTTTCCACTTTATTACACTAACATCTCGCAGGGGATTCTAGAACAGTAGATTACTTTGCATAATATGAATTTAATACTCATCTGCACTATGCAGGTGCATGTCTTAGAGTGGATTGTAAGAAATCCACGCCTCAACTTTTACTTCAAGTAAGATAGTATTTATGCCTAAATTTAAAATGTAAACTTGACTGTTAACAAAGAAAAATTAATATGGCTTGGAATTTTGAATGACTGTCTTTCAGAATGGAGACAAAACCATTTTGAAGGTCCAGTTGGTGAATATATTTATGTTGTTTAAACTTCTACAAGCAGAATTTGAGATGGTGTCATGTAACCAAGGACACTGACGTTTATGTAGTCAAAGCAATGCATAGTCAGTCATGTTGGTTCATGGCAACTTTCTCTTTAGCAAAACAAAATGTTGTGTCTTCCTGTACCATTGCATGATGGTCAAATGTTTTAAACCATTTGTTTCCATGTTTTATCAATCTATTTTATGAGGTGTTTACCATATTTTTACTGATCCTTTATCAAACCTAATACCCTTTTCTGAGGATGAGTCTCTCTTCTCAATTCCAAAAAAAAAAACCAAAAACCCCAAAACCCAAAACAAAACAACCAAGTCCCTTTCCCAAACAAACCAAGAACTAAAACAAAAAGCAACCAAACAACCATAACAAAAGAAACCTCAACCCAATAAACATAAAAAAACTCAAGTGTGTCAGAACTGACTCATCACTGACCCTCCAATGGGGGTTTTGGAGGCTATAAATCATGCAGAAAGAACAGGAAGGGGGAAACTTTAAATGTAGCCATATTCATTTATAAGTAAACAGATTTCATGCATATGTTGCATGAAATTTCTAATGTTGAACAATTAAAATAATATATTCCCTCCTTAAGTATATCATTCCACTTTTTAGAAATGAAGACCTATGTCCTATTACTGCACGGGTGAGGTTTTCATTATTGGTTTGTTTTCTTTTTGCTGTTTGTCTTTATATTGGGCAGAGTTCATTGAGAATTTCATTGAGAATTGTAATGCTAACCCACAGGTCATGCCTGTGGTGATTTGAATCCACCTGTGACTCCATGGGACAGTTAGGCACTCTTATCCCATGCAACGTACAGCCTCCAAACACCCACTGGAGGCTCAGCTATGAGTAGGTTCTGACTCAAAGGCAGTAAGTGAATGAATTTAGTTTTGCATAATCTTTATTTCTTGTGCTCTTGGTCACAAAGGTAAAGTGAGCAGAAGAGGTTTAGATAACATTCAGAGAGTGATGTTATCTTCTAATTCAGGGAAATACTGACTAATGATGTCCTCGTTTAGGACCAAGATGTTGTTGTTGTTGTGTACCATTGAGTTGGAACTGACCCATAGCAGACCCTCTGGCTGGTTTTCAGAGGCAGTTAATTGCACAAGAGGAGATTGCCCATCCTTCTTCAGTGGAACAGATGGTGGCCTCAAACTAGGTGCCTCCAGGATTGTAGCCCAGCTTCTTGCCACTAGGCCACCAGATAAGGATAGAAAAAATTCAACAAAAGCAAGCTTGATAATCATGAGTGATAGTGATGAGCCAGACAGCCTAAAGATAATATCCTGGCCAAATGTCAGCCCCCCAACCTCCATCCATCCAGGTGTAGTTTACAGGGGTTTTTTCTACGCTTGTTTAGATGTCTGAGGTGAAACATTTGCTTTCCTAAACCAGAGAAAGTCATCCAGAGACTACATTGGAGAATGAATAAGTGAAATGAAAGTTTCCATTGTCATGACCTGCTCTCTGGCCTACAACCAGCATGATGCTTGCACGTGGTATCATCACTTTGCTCCCCTAAAAGTCACTCTCAGAGGAGCGGGATCCTCTTCTCTTTTCCCTTATCTTACTTTAGGATCCCAGATGTTTATAGAAGTGGCAACATAAATTCAGTTAATCTCCTAAAGAATTTTTTTTTCTTAATCTAGGTTTAGTGCTCAGGCCTTTTGTTCATAGGGTCACTATGAGTCATCTACGACTCGACGGCACCTAACAACAACAACAACAACAACAACAACAATCTAGGTTTGGAACCATGTGCCAAACCACTAGATGTTTTATACCTCCTTTACTGTCTGTGTAACAAAATAAATGTCACTGAAACACTTTAAAAATGAATCACAATAAATGAATATTTTTTTTTAAAGATGTGAATGAACTAAGGGAGTGGTAAGGGAGGGAAAGGGGTAAAAATGTGCAACAATGAATGAATGAAAATCGAATTTCTCTGTAAATGTTTGTTAAAAAACATAATTAAAATAAAATTTTATTAAAAAGAATCAGGGTTTTGTTTTTTTTTTTTAATTCTGCAAACACCTTGCTTTTAGCCTCCATAATATCCTAGATGATTGAGATTTTGAGCAATCTATCAATGGTGAACTTCATCTCTCATTCTTTGGAGATGTCATTAGGAGGGGCTGGTCCTTGGAGAATGGCAGCATGCTTGAGAAGGTGGCAAAAAGGGGGGAAAGAGGAAGACCCCTGACACAGTGGTTTGACAATGGACTCAGCTATATCAGAAATGGCGAGGATAGCACAGGATAGGACAAGGTTCAGATCCCTTGTTCTTAGAGACATAGCTGATTGGACACCCAACAACAAAAACACCACCCATGTTGAGAATCATGAATTGAACTTGTGATCCTATATTTTCTGTAAATACAGAGTTTGATTAAGAAAATTTTTGGTGCTGAAAGCTTTGGATGGTATGAGATAATACACTATGTTGCAAAGTCAGATTATGTAACTACATGCCTGATATTAGTGTTCAAAGTTCCTCAACATTCCTTCAAATGCCCAAGAGAATATCTTCTCTGATTTGGTGCAGTTTGAAGGTAGCTGAAGGAGGAAAACATGTTCCCTTCTCATTTCTCAGTGAGAACATCAAAGAGCTTTAGGAGACAGGTATTCAGATGAAGGTTGTCGTATGAAATAATTAATAAGAATTTAGAAAATATGTTTTATTTCAAAAAACATTTCAGTAGCTGAAAGGAAATAAACATTTCTTTTTTGGGATATTTTGAAGATATTTTGACCACAATCTTTGAGTAACTTTTCATGAATTAATAGATTGAAGACATTTTGACCACAATCTTTGAGTAACTTTTCATGAATAAATGGATTTGTCTCATGTATGTGATCTCTGAAATAAAGTCTTTGTGGACTTAAACTTCCTCATCCTCCTTCTTATCTCTTCTCTATCATCATGGTAAATCTCACCTCTGACTTCACTGGGAACTCTACAAATTTCTTAAACATATTCCTAACTCATGTATGAAACTTTGTATTCTGGTGCTTGATACATATTAATAATCACTTTACAGTCTTCACTTTTAAAACATCTTTGAATAGCCTTTCCATTCAGGATTCTGGAATTTGTCTGAAACCACAAAGGTTTTTATTCCTTTTTGAACTAAGGGTTGTTGGTTTGTGGAATTTCCTTTAACTGGAAGCACGTATGAGTCTGTGGTTTCAGTGTTTTCTCAGTTTTATAATATCATACTTATTTGTTTATATTTTCAAAGCTGTAGAATTGACCATTAGTTTTCGTATTTTATAGAGGGTTAATTTTCCTCATCATTTTTTTCCAGTTGAAAGAGACAAGGATTTCTCTCACCAACGGAGGCATTACAAAGAATTCCGATTTGATTTAACACAAATTCCTCATGGAGAAGCAGTGACAGCCGCTGAATTCCGGATATACAAAGATCGGAGTAACAATCGATTTGAAAATGAAACAATTAAGATTAGCATCTATCAGATCATCAAGGAATACGCAAATAGGTATTATTTCCATTCCTACTTTATGTTCTAGCAAGCGAATATTACATTGTAATAAAACCCATTGATAACCCATGTGACTGATCAAAATATGTTTTCTTTGGATGTAATGGCATTCAGAGCCAGTTACAGATGCATAGAAAGTAAGAGTATTGACTTGAAAAATTCCTACGTATTTTACAACTTTTCCCACTTGCAATTTGATATCTGTGAAATAAATAATCTTGGGCTCCCCCATAACAGTCTCTCCTAGGTAGGATGTGGTAATGTTAATGGGAGGGGGGGCAGAGAAAGAAAATATTTGTTGTCTTTGTTCGTTGTCAGAGTCAACTGTGCCAATAGTGAGATGAGTCACAGTTTGAACTTTGCCAACAGATCTGAACCTTGCCCTCTCCTGCACCAACCTCATGATCTCTGAGTTACTTGAGCCCATTGTTACAGTCATGTCAATCCTTCTTGTTGTATGAGGTCTTTTTCCAAGAATTGTCCCACCTGACAACATGCCCAAAGTCTGTGAGAAGTTTCACCATCCTTGGTTCTAAGGAGCACTGTAGTACTTTCTCCAAGATAGACTTGCTTGCTTTTTGTTTTGTTACTTCACTTGTTCATTTGCAGATTTTCTTTTGAAAGTCTTTAGAAATATCTAGAAAACAAGTGAAGACTAGAGACTGGCAACAACAAAACAAAACAAGCCATGTTTATGAGATTCAGGAAATGATGAGAGCATATTAGGGGACTGGAATAAAATTGTAAGGGGAATGAAACCCTGGTACCTTGAGGTCTGGATTTTTTTTTTCTTTTTAACTGATTTGCTTACAAAATTCATATACATTGTGTTTCACATGACTCTTCATTCACATTGTGTTTCATATAATCATTCTCATGCATTATGTTTCATAAAATTCATCATTATTTGAGGTCTGGATGTTATTCTGTTTTTTGGCAGGGCATGGGATCTTTTATAATATCACAATTCAAAGGCATTGATTCTTCTGTCATTTTTATTCATTTCATGCTTTTAATTTTTCTTAAAGTATTAAAGGCATTTTATCACAGCCCCTACCACTCAAAACACACACACACACACACACACACACACACACACACACACACACACACATTTTTTAAAAATAATCTGGAACTTTGACTTTAATTTTTCACATCTAAAATAATCAGATCCTGTGGTTGGCTGCAACTTGTGACACTCCACTAAGTTTTATGTACATCTTAACAGGAGCAGACATCCTTAGTTTTCTCCTACCACTTGGTGGCTTCAAACCACTGACCTTTTTTCCCCCCAGTTAGCAGCTCAACATTATCCTGAAAAAAGAGAAAGATAGGTTAAAAAGACTTCATTTTTTCTATCATATTGCTAAAAGGAAAAGAAAAATACTTTCATCTTGAAAGCCAACTTCAAATTCCTCTTCCTAGTTTTAATTGTTTTGTTTCCTATGTTTCTGAATAACTAATAGGGAAACAGGGGGAAAAGCAAAACACAACAAAAAAAGCATGTACCTTTGGCCAGTTTCAAAGCTGTGATAACCCTGCAAAACTTCTGTCATCAAATGTGTAGATTTTCCCTACTTTCTACTTTTAATTAAACTCAGAAATAAATGAAAAGTGAATGCGGACTGTACTCAGTCAAGTGGTGCATTTGACAATGCATATATATTCTCACATATAGAAAGCTCACTTTCTCAAATGTACTGCTGAAGTCTGGGATCATGGCAGTAAACTAGACTGATGTTTAATAGTTTTCCATTTAAGACATCATCTGATCTATGAATGAATGATCAGTTTATGAATCTTTCTGACAGTGTTATATGACCAAATAAAGGGAGAATTACTAATTCATTATGTCATCTCCTTTCCCCTTTTATATCTTAATGAGACTTAAAACTCTTAAAATTGTGCCCTTGTATTCCTACCACCTCCCACCTCTCCCATTTATTCCTACTCATATTTAAGTGTGTGTAATTTAAAGGAGTGTTCTGATATTTATTCAGACTTTTATTTTTCTTGGTAAAAAGTTCACACACTTTGCATCATTTCACTTATTTAATCTTTTCATATATGGCTGACAGCCCCAGATTCTATGTAGAAGGCATTGCTCTTCAGTCACACCTCATATATCTGGCATTATTGGGAAATGAGGTTTCCCACATGATTGAATTTTCCAGATAATTCTGCTGAGTTCAGCATGCATTTGTTGATTGTCGACCATGTGGCAAGCTCAGAGGACATGAGGCTGAGTAAATAAGGCGTCAAAAACTCATAGCCTAGGGGCCAGAGGCTGTGGTGGGCCTGCCGCACACAGACTTTAATAACTATAATACAATGTGCTAAGCACTATGATGTAAGTATGCACTAAGTGTTGTGGAAATACAAATGAAGGAAAAAGTCATTCTTTGGATGAAAGAGTGAGAAAACTCAGGGGAAATCACCAAGAGGAATTTTCCTTTGAGTTGGGCCTTTCAAGATCAGTAGGAGCTTTCTAGACCGATAACTAAAAGTGTATTCTAGCACAAGTATCTCTAAACAAAATTATTAAACACACTTGAATGAAACAGCAGTAAAAAAATTATCAGTGTAAGTATTTCTCTTGATAAGACTGGCAGTTCAGCACTTATTCATTAAAGGGTAGTAACCATGTGTTTTGTACATAAAAAAAAATGTACGGTGTCTCTCTGGAGACTAAGGTGCGCCTGATGCAGGCCATGGTCTTTGCAATCACTTGTTATGCATCAGAGAGTTGAACAATGACCAAGGAGGATAGAAGGAGAATTGATGCCTTTGAACTGTGGTGCTTGAGAAAAGTATTGAATGTTCCATGGACTGCCAAGAAAACAAACAGATCCATCCTAGAGAGGAGGGATTTGGACATGTTGTAAGGAGAGACAGGTCCTTGGAGAGGGACATCATGCTTGGGAGGATGGAGGGACAGCACAGGAGGGGATGACCCTCTATGAGGTGGATTGATTCAGTGACTGAGGTAATCGGGATGGGTGTGTCAGAGGCAATGTGATTGGCACAGGATAGAGCAGGGTTTAGGACTGTTGTACATAGGATCGCTATGAGTCGCAGGTCACTCGATGGCACATAACAACAACAACAACAACAACAACCATGTGTTTGGCCTGATGATAAGAAGCTGTGATGCAATCCCAAAGACTCAGTTCTAATCTGCCAACTACTCCATGGAATAAGGATGGACAATCAGTCTCCTCCTATATGATTAACTGTCTGTGAAAACCCACTGCAAGGTCAATAACTATATATATATTATATAATTGCTGTATGTTGTTCAGTCAGAAACAATCCATAGTTGATCCTGCAGTAGGTTTTTCAAAAACAGTAGATAGATAGATAGATAGATAGATAGATAGATAGATAGATAGATAAATTGAGTTAGATAGAGAGTTGAACATGATTCACAGTGACTATGTTCACAGAGTTTACAGAGAGAGGCATGTTGTATAGGAAGTAGATACCACTCTTGCTTCCTAGGCTGTCTTAATCTGAGAGCTCAACCAAACACTGTCCATGAAGGGTTGCCATTATGGCATTTGACACAACAGTGGCATAACATTCATCATCACAACAAAACCAAGTTACCTCAGTACAGCAAAATTGGCAGACCAGTGTTGTACCACTTAGAAGAATGTTCATGCCAAACATAATTCACATCAAGCCTGAGGGCCACAGCCCTGAGGATCCAACCAACTTTTAAAAACACAGGCCTATCCACCAGGTCCAGATCGACTTAAACAAGAAGCTTCCAGCCCACAGCTCATTGTAAGCCTAATCCAGCAAATCCAAATAACTCATGCAGGTTTATAAAAACAACTGAACAAGAGAGCAATCCACACCCAATCCTCAACCAAAAGAAGAACAGACATTACACACACACACACACACTAAACTATTTCCCAAATATACCGTTCATTAAATAAAATGTACTATGTATAATCTGGGAAGCTCTTATGGTTTAGTGGTATGGAATTTCTTTGCCAATGCAAAAGTACACAGTTTGAACCCACCAGCTGCTCTCTGGAAAAAAGATAGGCAGTCTCCTCTCATGCAATTTAATGACTCTGAAAACCCACTGGATGCGGCCCTGGATATGCTGATCAGCTTATACCTGGAAATTTGGATTTCAATCACTTTCTGAGGTAGAATCCTGTAGTTTTGATATTATAAAAATAATTTGTTAACACTGAAAAATTTATTGAAGTGTCATATGAACAAAAGCCAAAGGTGATGAAAAAGAAGTTAAAGCTTCATTGAAGGAATTGGGGTTGGGGGTGGGGGAAGGCTCAAGGAATTTATGAAATACCAGTTGACATATTATAAAAAGTGGAGTCTGAATCGACTCATAGCTGACCCTCTAGCAGGTTTTCAGAGGCAAGAAATTCCAAGATTGTCCATCTGTCCCCCGACGAGAAGCTGGTGGATTCAATCCATGTACCTTTGGGTTGCAGCACAGTTCTTTACTACACCGTTGTTCTCGAGTACCACCAATTAAGAACTGATCCATAGCTGGCTCTCTAGCATGTTTTTAGAGGCAACAAATCAGTTGGGAAGAAATTGTTCCTCTTTCCCCTTTTTAGCAGCTGGTGGATTTGAACCATATGCCTACAGGATTACAGCGTAGCTTCTTATCATCAAGCCACTACAGCTCCTAGACTGGGATAGATACGTTATATATAAATACACATATATGCATACTGTTGTTGTTACTGTTGTTGTGATATGCCATCGAGTCGCTGCAACTAATAGTGACCCTATGTACAATAGTCCTAAACTCTTCTCTATCCTATGCCAATCTTATTGTCTCTGATACACCTACCCTCATTACTCAGGTCACTGAATCAATCCATCTCATTGAAGGTCTTCCTTTCCTGTGCCGTCTCTCCACACTCTCAAGCATGATGTCCCTCTCTAAGGACTGGTCCCTCCTTGCAACATGTCCAAAGTATGTCAGACAAAGCTGCAGAATCCTT